TTCATCTCCTTGAGCACAGGACTCAGCTCCACTACACTCCTGGTGCTCCTTTTCTCCTCAGACCTTTTCGTTACAGTCTGCGTGACTGATCACAACTACTCCAACAAAGCCATACCCCCTAGTCCTCCTTAGGTAGTGCTCCTCCCTAATGACTAAACATTCAAATACATGAGTCTATGGGAACCGTTCATATTCAAACCATCACACACATAAAATAAATCTTTGAGGAAGAAGACACATGGCCAGGCTCCCTAGCTGTAGAGGATAGACCTTCTATGCATAAGGCCTTGGGTTTGTTTGTTTTTTTTTAAGATACATGACCACAAAACTATGTACATTATAAAACCACACTAAACACTGAAAATGGTTGCTCATGGGGAATAAGGAAAGAGAATAAGAATGAAGAATGGGCTGGGTGGGGATGAAGCTTGGTGAGCATGTGCTCAGCGTGTTAATGGCCCTGCACTTAACTCCCAGCACTGCTTCAAGAGATAATAGTCAAGCATGGTGATGCAACCTTTAATCCCAGCACTTGGGAGGCAGAGGCAGGTGGTCATCCTGCTCTACAAAGGAGTTCCAGGACAGCCAGGGCTGTTACACAGAGAAACCCTGTGCTGAAAAACCACACACACACACATCAGCTGCCAGCTGCCTACCCAGGAATGAATGGGGAGCAGACATTGAACACACCCGATCTTGTTTCCTAGATGGTGGTGGAAAATATCAGGGAGTGTTCACTTGTAAAAGACCCTGGCAAGAGGGTCCAAAGTGCTACATAGGAGTTCAGGGTCCCTAATGAAGGCCAGACGAGGGAAACAGAAATGAAGGGGTCCCTAGTATGGACATCTTAAAGAGTACCTACTCAGGAGGGAGAAGAATATGGCCAAAGCTGGATAAACCAGAATGTGGAGACAAAGATTGCAACAGTGAAGTCTTCACATGTCAGAGATTCATGCAACAGCCTGCCCTGGTGTTTGGTTTTTATTTCGAAAGATAAATGAGACGGTGCTGTCAACACTTGGGACAACTGAAGACAACAGGACTCTGTTACACTGATAAGGAAGTGAGCACTGGCAAACGGTATCGAGTACTTAGCATTTTCCTTCTCGCTAAGTTCCGTTTGGTTCCAAAGTTGGAACTCACAAATCTTCGAGTAGGATGGCTTCAGACTCTTGTTAGGGATGTCAACAAGACAGCCCTTTCTCAAGGCACCTACACAGCCTTCTGCCACCGTGAGAAAAGAAATACCCAAGAAGCACAACAGCATTTTAAAATCTCTCCTAGTGTTACAAAACGAGGAAAAGAGAGCAGTTTGAATTAGCATCTTCGGTGTGGTGTGAAGATTGAAATAGCGTTCTTTACCAACTAATTACTAAATATAGCATTTTTGTAAAAAGGACTAATTTTTTCAGCTATTAAGATTCACAGTACAAATAGTTGAGAAAACCAACTAGAGAGAGCTTAGTAGAGATGGGTGTTTGATTTTGATTCATAGTCTTATGCTGGATTTAATTCGAGAAAAATACCTGGTGTCTCCAAAGGAAAGGTAGGCTGTATAGCTGACTTCAGTTGTCAACTTGATGGGATCTAGTATCACCTCTGGGTGTATCTATGAGGAATTATCTCAATTAGGATCAGTTGGAAAGACCCAATCACTATGAATGGCCCCATTTGCTGGGATGGAATCCTGGGAATAGGAAGGAAGTGAGCTGCTCACAAATGCTTCTTAACTATAGATGCCATGTGACTGGCCACCTCAGTGGCTATCACTGTGACATCACTGCCATGAGCTGTACCCTCCAACTGTGAGTCAAGATAAGGCCATTCTTCCTTAAGTTGCTTTTGTCAGTGTTCTTTATCATGTAACAGGGGAAATAACAAAGACAGGCTAGCTCTGCCCTTTTTGTTTTGAAGGTGATAACCCAATACAAGTGCCAAGTCTTTGGAAACAAAGATTCTTGCCCATACAAGTCATTATTAACATCTGTTAGTATCTGTCGCCTGAGTTTTATAAAATATTCCAAGAAACTTGACTGTAGGCTTTAGCAGCAACTCCTCTTGAAAATGAAAAAGACCATTTACTTCTTTCACTATTATGGACACTCCTTTTTAAAAACAAGACTGAGCCAGGCATTGTTGAGAAGCAGAGATGGGGATCTCTGAATTTGATGCCATCTTGTTCTATATAATGACCCCCAGGGCAGCCAGGGCTACATAGAGCAACACTGTCTCAGAACCGGGTGGGTGACATAGCTCAGCAGGTTCAGCACTGTGCAAGTCTGATGACCTGAGTTTGATCTCTGTAAACCATGTTCATTACTGTGATGGAACACCATGACCAGACAATTCATGAGAGAACATTTATTTAGGCTTATGGTGCCAAAGGGGTGAGTCCACCATGGCAAGGAGACAGGCATGGTTGCTGAAGCAGCAAGCTGAGGGAGGGGTTTACATCTTGAACCATGAGCAAAAGGCAGAGAGCAAGCCCTGAGAACAGTGTTTTTAAACCCCAAAGCCCACCCTGAGTGATATACTTTCTCCAGAAGGGCCGTGTGGTCGAACATCTGAGCCTACAAGGTACAGGGCAGCACTCTCATTTAAACACCATGCTGTGGAAAGGTGTAAGAGCTACCTGACTCCACAAGTGTCCTTGGACCTCCACACAGGTGCAACGGGACCTGTACCGTGTACATACATCACACCAACACAGTATTTAAAACTCTTAAAAAATATACACACGCCGGGCGGTGGTGGCGCACGCCTTTAATCCCAGCACTCGGGAGGCAGAGGCAGGCGGATCTCTGTGAGTTCGAGGCCAGGCTGGACCGACAGCCTCCAAAACAATACAGAGAATACAGAGAAACCCTGTCTCGAAAAACCAAAAAAAAAAAAAATATATATATATATATATATATATATATATATATATATATATATACACACACACACATATATACATACATACACACCAACCACTGGGACTTCAAAAGCTTTTAGGATACCAAAATCTAAGAACGCCAAATTCTGGTCACCTCTGAAAAACTTAACTGCAGTTAATAACATATTTTTTACATATATAAATATATTATTTCCCTCAGTTGAAGCTCAAACAAATAAAACCCAAACCAAATCAAAGACAGTGAAGAGGAGAGGAGCAGGGGAGGAAGAAGAAAGCGGTATTACTTTCCACTTCAAGACAGCAGACTAGGTTTTCTCTTTGTGGGGTTCATGCTGACACAGCTAAGTTACTCTGGACGACTTTGCCCAGAGGTTCGCCTCTCTGCAATGGCAAATGTTGTCTTCCTGCTGTGCTCTTCTTTAAAAGTGTCCGTCTACTTTCCATACTTTTCTGCATTGGGAAGTGTAAGTTCATTGTGTACCTCAAATACTGTAATGCTGAGACTAGGGAAATAATGTTCGTCTTGCTAGGGAATATGGGTACCACACAAGAATGCAGCTCGCTGAAACAGAGACTGAGAAAGTACCCCAAGACAGGGAAGGGGACAAAAAGCACAATTGGCTAAGCAGAGGGATGGCTTTCTGAAAGTGAAACTCCCCAAGAAGTTTGGGTACAACTTTTAAGAATTAGTCTGGTGGTGTCTTGGTCAGTGTTCTATTGCTGTGAAGAGACACCATAACCACACCAACTCATAAAGAAAACATTTAATTGGAGTGGCTTGCTTGCAAGTTTCCGAGATTCAGTCCATTGCCATGGAGATGAGGGTGGTGCTGGAACTCAGAGTGCTACATCTTGCAGGCAACAGGAAATCAACTAACACTGGGCTGTATCCTGAGCACTGAAACCTCAAAACCTGTGCCCACTGACAAGTTTCCAACAAGGTCATACCCACTCCAACAAAGCCACACCTCCTAATAGTGCCTATGAGATTAGGGGGCCAATTACATTCAAACTACCACAGGTGGGGACAATGACAAGCAGAGACCTAGAGTCTAGGGGGTGTGGCGCTCAAAGCTCTGGGTTCACTACCCAGTATCAAGCAAAAATGGTAGAGGACGCGCCTCGCAGCACACTGCAAACCAGAGTAGGAATGTGCGATCACTTGAGTAAGTTACTTCTCCCCCAATATGATCATGCTGCTCAACACTCAGTCCAACTTCTAGTGGAGACTTGCTAGAAGGATGTTACTGAGTGGACATTGAGAATGTATAGCCTCACCCCACTTCCAATGCTCTTTTTCTATGTGGCTCAAGTAACCTGCTGGGCAGTGGTGGTGCATGCCTTTAATCTAAGCACTGGAGAGGCAGGCAGATCTCCGAGTTTGAGGCCAACCTGGTCTACAGAGTGAATTCCAGGGCAGCCAGGGCTACACAGAGAAACCCTGTCTTTAAAGAAAAGCGAACAGGGAGGGAGGGAAAGGACAAGCTTCCTGTTTCTACCACCACACCTTCCCATACTGAATGTCTATCCTTCAGGAACTGCAAGGCAGAATCTTCTATTGCTTCTGGCCATGGCATATTATCATAGAACAGAACAGTAACACAATGAGAAACAAATAGTCCCATACACTTACATACCTTTTTAAAAAAATTACACATACGCACGTGGGCACATGTATGTGCATGAGGAAGTCAGAGTGTCATCATGCTCCACCTGTTCCTTTGAGACAGTATTTCCTTGAACCTGGGCTCACATTTTCTTGGCTAGGCTGGGAGCCAGCCAGTCCCTATGATCATCTGTGTCCATGTTCCTGGAGCTGGAGTTACAGGTACGCGGGGAGCACCTCCCCTGTTACGTGGGTACTAGGATGCCAACGCCAAGCCTCACACTTGCTCAGTAACTTCTCTCCTAAGCAGACGCCCCCCAGCCCTTACTACTGACTCTGGACTTTGTTTCTCCTTCTAGTTTTAGGGATCAAACCTAAGATTGTGCACTTGCTAGGCACACTCACCACTAAGTTCCAGTCCTTTAATGTCTTGGATTTCCATCTATTCTACAAGAGACACTCTCTAAATTGAGTATAAACAACATGGACACATAATAGTTAGAACTCAACTTTATTGTTACAACCAATGTTTATTTACAGAATATAAATCTCTTCAAAAAGATACATTCCTTCATTTAATCAATGGTAGAAAGCCTTATTAAACAGAAATAAAGCCTAAGCCGCACTTGTATCTTAACAGAAACACGGCTTCATTGCCAAGTTCATGAACACAGAACACAAATGTCACTTCAGCAGCTACATGAATGAGGCTGTTGATTTCACCGGCAATGTCATTTATCCACAAAACAAATTTTACTTAAATTAACAGTAGTAAAACTTAAACTTCCAACATAAAAATGTGTAACAACAAAGGGAAAAGCAGGAAGTATCTCGGCTAGCAAATAGATGACGTTCTCCGGCACTCAGACACTGGCTGAGGCATAGGGAAACCTAGGACAAGGGCTGCATTCATCTGCGAGGTATTGATGCATGTTCAGTGCTGAGACTATCCATAGCACGTACAGTCTACACAAAGCAGCTTTAGACTACAATTCACATTTGAGAAACACAAATTTAAGATCTATGCCACAGCTTCCCAAGTCAACAGACAGCTAACGCAATACAGTTACTCATTTAAGCTTTTCCCTTGTGCGTGGGTAATACCATGTCTTCTTCCTTCAATGAGGACGTTTGACCTCGCTGTACAAAGCTCCTAAATACAGAAAAGTTCTTGTAGGTTCCATTAATTTACACTTACTTTAATACAGGTAAATACAGAGGACGACTTTAGATTACTGACAATGAACACTCAGTATGTCACTACCTAGAGACGAGCAGCAGCATGCCACAGTGCAGGCACAGCGAGCAGGTACTCTGTTCCCTCCACGGTTCTATGGGTGTCCTTAGGTTTCAACCTAGCTCTCGAAGTTCCTGGCTAGGAAGCCTGTAATTCCAATCCCTGCTCCACTTTCACAAACTAATCAAAAGACAATATGATGTCTCAGTTCTGTAAGGAGCTAGTGTTTTATTAACGTATTAATGGGATCCAAATCACCACAGTGGGTAAGATAACCGAAAGATACGATTGTAACTTTTAGAAGTTTTTTTTGTGAGTACACACAACGCACAATGGACAAAGGTGTGTTGGTGGTCCCACAGGGCACAGTCCAGGAGAGAACCTTCCAGCACAGCAGTTTAAAGTGCTTATGAGTAAAGCATCAGTGTTTGTTTCTAACCCAAATACACTGGGGTCTCTTCCCATATCAAACTGAGCCAAAATTGAAAAATTTCAGCAAAAAACTATTCAAACAAATCTAACTCAGTTTGTAATGTGTCACTGAATTTAGCCTTCAAGAATTCAAAGTAATACAAAAACCTCAAGTATTTTCTTTTACAGAAACACAGGCTGAAGTTCCCAAACCAGGGATGTTTTACTGGAGCAGCCGATAGCATTTGTGAAACCCAAGATTTAACGCTGCCGTCACTATGGGGGAGGCAGCTCACCGTCCTTCATCTTGCTTTTCAGGACAGAAATGTGCCTTGAGACGCAGCTCAGCTTTACAGCAAAGGCCGTCATGGTATCTGACAGAGAAGAAACCCACAGCAACCGGGCCTGAAGTGAGACACGCGGGCTCACCTCCGCCTGCACGCACCCTTGTGTGAGGTAGCACACGCTGCTGCCACTAGGAAAACCCCAGCACAAAGCATTGTCGACTTTGTCAACAAGATGACAGATTAATAGGAAAATATTTAAGTCTACAGTACTCTGGAACGCAGTATAAAACACTTAAAAGCAAGTTAGAGGAAAAACTCAACCTGGCACTACGGCCCTTTGTCTACCAGCCATTGAGACTGGAAGGGGCACAGCTGGCTTCTGTTCGAAGTCGAGCTTTCTAATTTCCTTTAGAGTGCTTGGGAGAATTCTTCCTTTAAGTCTAAAGTCATAAAGTTAAAACAAACATGGGGTAACTGTCATAAACCATACCCTTTTCTCACATTCCCAAACTGACCCACTTCAGAGAAACCACCTGACAAACTGAGAGATGCCATCTGCCCTATGTCTTGTATGGATAGGATTTACATTCACATTGAATCTCAGGTTTTTGTTCAAAGTGTCAACAAACTGAAATAGAATAAGGGACCACACTGCCGTTTACAAACAGCAAATCACATTTTTCATGTCCTTTACCTTCAAATTGTGACTCAGAAGGAGCCTTATCAACTCACTGCTCCCCACCATCTAATCCACCAAAAATTAACAGCGAAGGAAAAATTGGAGAAAAGTCTTATTAGGCACTGAGAGGCTAAATAAATAAATACCAACATTAACTAAAACCCAGTAATGCTCACTTCCAGTTCTTGCCATTTCACTGCACAGCTAGGTGTGCACTGTTCCCAGCCAAACACCAACAGGCTGGATCATCTAGTGACAGAGAAGCTTCTACAAAGGAGAATGCAAACTACGAGCTCTTGTATGTGGGACACAACTCACACTAATTACACCGCTTATTTACACTGTCCTATTTACATCCAGGCAGACCTACTTCCGATGGTTTGTGCTCATGTCGATCTCAGGCGGATCATGTCAACAATAAGACGGAGCCACCACATCTCATTTCCAGAAAATGGTGGTAGCACAGATCAGAAGAGGGTAGGAAAATCAATTGGTCAGGTTCAAGATCATACAGGTGTGCCAGGGAGACAGGATCGGGGTAGAGGGCAGAAATGTGGAATTTTGCTTGTCACAGCATCCAGGCCACTACGGTCTATTGATTAACATTGAACACCCATGAATGCCACTTCTAACATCCACTTTCATATTTACAAAATGAACTTACCACCAGTTGAGTGATTAGGTAAGGCATTCAAGTTCTTAGCTTAACAAAAGAAGGCAACTGATATTCTAGCAAGCCACAGGACACATTTTAGTGGGATGCTCTTCAAAGCTGTCCCAATGTACCCTCTTTAGAATCCCTTACATGGTCAATACAAAGGAAAGACATTTTGAATCCTGTTGATAATCTACACCATGATCCCCAAAAGCTGTATGGGAAGCAGGCGCATCAGAGCACCCAAATCTGGCCAGGGAATGGGGACAACAGTTTGCATGTGCTAATCTTTTTCCAAGATCTCTTGCATGCTAGTAGGGTGAACGAGGAAGTCTCCATCGCTGCATTCACGGCCACACAGGAGTCTCTGCGGCAGCTGTCTCAGTCGGCCGCTATGCAGTCCAGCAGCAGCAGCAGCAGGAGCAGCAGCATGGTGAGCCTCCAATAAAGCACTCTCAAGTAAGATGAAGAAGAGATTAGCAAACACTGCCTTCTCCAGTGTTCCCACATGACACATACTCTTGGATTTTAAGAGGAGGAAAGCAAAAACTCAGGAGGCTCACATCTTTATCATTCTATGACAATGTTCCAACCACAAATGAAAATTCCACTAAGTCAGTTCTTGTAGGTTTGCTTTAACATTGAAAAGAGCTAGTCATTATTTGTTTCCATTCAAGGAAGTCAGCAGAATAGTTATGATCTTACAGTAATGTGGTTCATAAAAACAAAAGTGAATGTTACAATATTGGGGAGGTAGAAACCAAATCCAGGTCTAACACTGTTAGAGACACATACTTAGGAGTCTATTTACGTGGCTAGAATTTACCATCTCAGATGGCCATGGTCTGTAAGTGTTTCTACTTATGTTATTAGCTTTGAACACGTTTAGACAATCCAAGTATTTTAAAGCACTTGTCTGAGAATTTAAGTAAAGTGAACAACATATCAGATGATGTCTTAGGATGGATCTGTACTGCATACTTTAATATGCAGGTCCATGGAGCTGACTCTGTACAGAAGCACTTACGTGAGCAAGGTGCAGACCCTGTCTGACTGACCTAGGTCAGTCTTCAGGGATAAAGCCTTCTCTGTCTGCCTCAAAGACTCCCTTCCGTATCACAGTCGCCCCCTACATCTACACAAAAATAAAAACCAGACTAACAAAAACAAGATAAAACAAGTCCTCCTACCACGACTACAGCTTAATTCACATTTTCTTATTTGTTAAGATTCTAAGTATTCAAGCTCAACAACCTACCTAAATATTCCTTACTGATTCTTCTAACTGCTTTAACAATATTATTCTGAAATTACAGTTATCAGCAATCACTGGCTGATTCTACAGACACAAAACCAACCTAAGGAATGAATCGGAACAGAAAGAATCTAAATGACATTCCTGGACTCCAAGGATGATGAACTCTGTATGTTTGTTTCAAATACTAACAATATCAGCCATTACTTAATGAACAAAAACAGAGTTTCTCAAGTTAAACAAAAATTTTGGTTAGAAACAACTTGATAGGTAAACTCTAAAAACTGAGACTATTACCTTAAATGACCATATCTAGTATTTTAAAACATGACTTAACACAGATTTTGACATTAAATTGTTATACTTATATTCCAGGATTATACAGTAAATATATTTTATACTGTCAGGCTACGTAAAGAGTCAATTTCGTTCTAAGTTGTATTCTTTAAAGAAATTATTTCCAGTTTCCAATTCAAAAAAGTATACCCTACAGACAGTGGCTGCCGTGCTCCCTCCTCGACAGGAGCTTCTCTAGAAAACTCTACAACACCCTAAGTTACTACCGAGGCATGACTGCCACGTCAAGAGTAAATGATTCATTTTACAAAGGTTACACTGAGTGAGAATATTTTCTAAAATTAACCCCATTAACAAAACTTTTAAAAGATCTCTACAACATTCTCATTCCATACACTGAACCAGCAAATGAAAGATGAAAGTAGTCAGTCACATCAACTCTGTAATAAATAATTCACATGTAACATGGACTGTATTGCCAAAGGCTGAGGGAAAGCTGAGTCCACTCTCCCGATGACAAATCTCTAGCCTGACACACACTGACAACAGTGAGCGTGTTTTTAACATCATTCTATTTAAAAATAGATTGGTTGTTTAGAGGCATAATTTGTAAAGCAAGATAACAAATTAAATGAGTGTTAACAAAGATTGGCTTTTGGAATTTCTTAGGAAACATCCACAAGCACAGCTCAGCTCCTAGAGAACAGGGAGGCCGCTTCTTTACTCCGGCATCTTCAGTGCTGTGACCTCCGGCTTCATTTTAAAGTACTGGTTAAAGCGAACAATGGCATACCTAGTGAGAAAGAACAAGGAGAGCTCAGAGTGGCCTCAGTCCTGCAGCTGCTTCTGAGATTTAACATTCCCAAGTGCATGCTTGGTGTGCTGCACCACCTACTGGACACTTCCCGAGCTGAGCACTGACCAGCCTAGAAGCTTCCACACGGTTTTAAAGGGGATGCGGCCTCCAGAACGCTGCCTGGAAACAGTAATGTGACACTCCTGTCACTCCTACACACTAGTTCAACCCACAGAGACGGACCGCACCTTACAGTTAACACCATCTTACCCAAGGAAATCAAACTCAATTGTGGAGTACTTGGCTTGGATCAAAGCCCAGAGTCCCCAGAAGAAATGAGAAGCCTTAAAGAGAAGAAAAATGAAGAATTGTGAAACAAATTGTTAATTCTATGCTTTTCATTAATTACATGCATGGTACTTTCTTTTTCTCTACTTTTTGGTAAATACTGAACCTAGGTCTACTGAGCTACATATACTTCCTAGCCCCAAAAGTATCTTCTTTTCTTGTTAATTTTTACACAACATAGCCAGAACAGAATATACTGAAACAGGGCAGTTACTGGGTCACCACTGATGACTCTGTCTATACTAAGAAGTCAGAATGCCTTAGAAACTGAATTCTACGAGATTCTATAGTCTTCGACCAAAGCAGAATTTAGCATTCCACATAAGATACAGGTAGAGTAGTAGTTCACACGCCTCCATTTATTTTATTGGCTCCATTATACACACAAATCACCACACCGCTTAACAAGTGTTATCAGTGAAAACTGAATCCTAGAACTTAAAACTAATGCGATTAGAAACTGTAACATAATTCTATATATGCCTTACAACTATTTCTTAAATGATTAACATTTTCATTTTGCATGTTTATTTGAGTGCCTCCGTGTACCACCTGGATGCCTGGTGCCCACACAGTCCAGAAGAGCATTTTATAACCCTGAATGGAGGTACAGACTCCTGTGAGCCATCAGACAGGTGCTAGGACCCAACGTCAGTTCCCGCTTGAAAAGCAGCCAGCTTTCTTAACCAATGCGCCCTGCCCTATTTTCTTTTTCATCTGTGTGTGTGTGTGTCTGTGTGTGTGTGTCTGTGTGTGTGTGTGTCTGTGTGGTGTGTGTGTGTCTGTGTGCCTGTGTGTGTGTCTGTGTGTGTGGTGTGTGTGTATGTGTGTGTGTGTGTGTGTGTGTGTGTGTCTGTGTGTGTGTGTGTGTGCACATACGTGGAAAAAAGAGGACAACTTACAGGGCTATTTTTTCCTTCCACCATATAAATTCCTGGAATTTTACTCTGGCCATTAGGCCATCTCACTAGCCCACAATTAATTTCCATTTAGACATGAAACTTTAAAATTCTGTCAATTTAGGTCAGGAACAAGATAATTCAACAAGGAAAATGGCTCTAAGTCCAAACCCATGAACCATGATGGAAGGAAGAACCTACTCCCAAATGCTGTCCACACACACAGAGACACACAGAGACACACACACACACACACACACACACACACACACACACACGAGATAAACTAAATTCTGGTAACATGGGGCTGTTCTTCCAAAGGCCTCAGATGAGATTCCCAGCACCTACCCACACAATAGTTCATAGCCATCTGTAACTCAGGGGATGTGGTCTTACTGCTTCTGTGGGCACCAGCACAAGTGGTACAAAGACATACATACAAGCAAAACACTCACACTTTTTTTTTTAATTCTGGTAACAAGATTAAAATTTTACTTCCCTAGAAATACTCTACTTTTACTAGAAATGCTCTAGGAAAAAAAAAAGCTAAAACCCAGGTTCTATTTCTCGTATATTCTCTAAGGCAAAAGCTACAAAAGGGCCAGTGAGAGTGCTCAGAGCTGTAGCTCTGTACCTGTGGGTCAAGACCACTTTGGGGTTTAACCACCATTTCACAGGAGTAACCAAAGACCATCAGAAAACACAGATATTTACATTATGATTCATAGCAGTAGTAAATTAAATATGAAATAGCAATGAAAATAATTTCATGGTTGGGGGTCACCACACATGAGGAACTATACTGAAGTGTCACAACATCAGGACCACTGAGAAACACCGGCTCAAGGAGTAAAGTGGCTTGCTACCAACCACGCCTGACAATCTGGTTTAATATCCAGGACCCACGTGGCAGAAGGAGGAGAAACAATTCTAGGAGGTCATCCTCTGAAAGCACACATGCTGTGGCATAAACATGCTCATGCCCACACAAGGTAAATAATACATGTAACACTTGTCTTAGTGTGCAGGGTTAGCTGGGCACGGTGTAGTGGGGATGGAGGTCTTTACTCAAATGTCAATGCCTGTCAACAGCAACAGCCACAGAGAAACACAAGCAAACACAACAGAGATTCTCACTAAGTCAGAATGCAGTTATCAAAAACCAAGTGAGAGCAAGCACACGGAAGGGATCCCCCTTATACATCACTGATGGGAATGTCTGGATATCAGCATGGAGATTTCTCAAAAAGTTATCAGTAAGTCTACTTAAGACCCAGATATCTACACTACGTCTCTTCAGTATTCACCCCGAGACCCCATGTTCCACACAGCAGAGATTCACAGCAGCCAGATTGTGGAACCAATATAGGTGTCTAGCAACAAAGGATGGACAGAGAAGGTATCAATGGGATTTCTGCCATCATAAAGGATGCAGTTACGTCAGTCACAGGAGAGCTGACCCAGTAGAGATCGTCATGTTCAGCGCATTAAGCCAATCTCAAAGGCACATACTGCGTGTTTTCTCTCATCTGTAGGTCCTAGGTTTTATAGGTACATACAACCATGTATATATTGATGACATAAAAATAGAAACAACATTCTTTAAAAACAAAGGGATTGCTGGGCAGTGGTGGCGCACACCTTTAATCCCTGCGACATCTCTCGTTTCCTCTTTAAGTACTGTGAATCCCAACGGGGGTTCTATTAGTGATTCACGCACACAAAAATGTAATAAAATTTTCAAAAATAATTTTGAAGCTTGATGTCTGTCATTTGTCCTTTATTGTTTTCCTATCAGAACGTAATAAATGATGTGGGGGCAATGTGCACATGGACCGCTAACTTCTCCACCTTACTTCTTCACATGTATTATCTGTGAATACAGGGTGTGTGTGAGTGTGTGTGTGTGTGTGTGTGTGTGTGTGTGTGTGTGTGCGCGCGCGTAGGCCACCGTCTATGGTGTCTTCCCATCTCTCTACACCTTATACACTGAGGAAGAGTCTCTCATTTGACCCAGAGCTCATCAACTGAGCTAGCCAAGCTAGCCAAATGTTTCCAGGAATGCATGCACTGGGTTACAGAAGGATTACCATACCTATCCATCTTTCTCCACTAGGTTCCGTGGATCTACACTCTGGCCGGCCCTAATGCTTATACAGCAAGCACTTTACTCACTGAGCCATTTCTTGAGAGAGGAGCTAACCAAGGAGATCGGCTGGCTGGCCAGCAGACCAAAAAGTCACCTGCCCATGTCTCTCCCCAGTACTGGAGTTACAGGTATAAATGGCATGCCCACTTCTACATGGGTGCTGGGAATCCAGTCCTCATGCTTGCACAACAAGCACTCTGTTCACTGAGCCATCTCTGCAGTTCTCGTATAAATGACATTCTGTGACTGTCTGCAGGAGCCAGCTCAGCCAACCAAACCTGTAATCCCAACACCAGGGCCTGGACAACAAGGCTGGAGGAAACATGGGGCCAAGTAAATGTATTTAAAGTACAGTAAGCTTTTTGTGTATTTGGTTTGACTTAGTTTTTTAAGATAATACAGTCCAGGCTGACCTTCCCTGCTCTGTGGCCATTCTGGTGGTAAACCCTAGATTCTGCTACATCTGCTTCCCAAGAGCCAAACTTGTAGGCATGCACCACCATGAAGATGTTTATCCCCTTAAATCACAGTAAGTTTATTTCTAACTACACTTTGCTAAGAATTTTTAATAAATATGGTGTTAAATGCTTAGCATCTGATTAATGAACCATGTACAGATACAATCCCAGAATGAAAACCATGTGAATACTGCAGGGAGTCTCTGGGTGGTGAGTATAACTGCAGAGACATCAAGGCCTTTACTGGCACCCCCATCAGACAGCAGCTGTCATATCTGAGCACATGCTCTCGTCTGAGGTACAGAGTGTCTCTGAGGAGTCTGTGCTGCACAAGACTGTCAACAGTCTAGCTTAGCTGCAGGCCATCACTGCAGGCCATCTGAAAAAGCAAGATGGCCCATGATCCCAAAGACTCTTTTACAGAACCGCACTGAAACCTGCAAAGCAGGTCTAGCTACTCAGTAATATCTGAACACATACAATATTCTCAGAAGACAACCAAGTGTTCTCAAACCAAACGCAGGTAAAGGAAAATGAGTCCTTAAAGCAAGGCAATAAACTTCGAGACAAACTGCAAACAGTCACACTCTGTCATTACTTTACAAAATAAAATCCACAAAACTTAACTGCTTTGTACAATGCTGAAGATTTAGTTAAGTGCATTAGAAACTTTCATTCACTCTATTTAAACTTACCAATGCAAACTGATTGACCTGAATGAAGAGTGTCTCTACTTCCTTTTCAGTGACTTCACTACCAAAGCCCTTATACTCCTTGTAGGCTTCAAGGTAAGAGCGCAACCACTGGCCTTGGAGGTCTCTATCTGGATAGAGACTATAGTCTACGTCACTGACACCTGAGGAGAAACAGACATTGAGAAACACCCTTCAGCATGCCTAAGTACTAAACACCAACTAATAAACATGCTAAATACTAACACCAACTTTTTAACTGCAAAGTACTGAAACCTTTCACTTCTGCTAGCAAAACCTTATTATTAAACAATGGACCAGCCACCAAAGGGAGTGGCACCATTAGAAGATGTGACCTTGTTAGAGAATATGGTCTTGTTGAAGTTAGTATGACACTGTGGAGGTGGGCTTTGAGGTCTCATATATTCTCAAGATACCATCTAGTGTCTCAAACCACTTCCTGTTACCTAAATGATGGTGGACTCTCAGCTCCTTCTGCAACACCATGTCTGCCTGCACGCCTCCATGTCCTGCCATGATGATAATGTAAGCCTCTGAAACTATAAGCCGCCACCTCAATTACATGTTCTTTCTTTGTGGGAGGAGTTGTGCTCATGCTGTCTTCACAGCAACAGAAAGCTTGTTGTGATTTTTTGTTTGTGTTCTAACAAATAAAGCTTGCCTGGAGATCAGAGGGCAGAGCTAAGCCACTAGTTAACCATAGAGGTTTGGAGGTCTGTACAGACAGGAGACAGAAAGTGATACAGTTGGGCGGAGAGAAGGGATAAGGTGGGAGGAGACAGGATCTCGGCCTTTCTGGTCAGAGGACTGCTAGAGTAAGAAGTCTCTCTGGTGACTGTCTGCTTTGCTTCTCTGTTCTTATTAAGACTAATTAGAAGCATGCATCAAAGCCCTAACTAACACACTCACTCATCTTAACGCTGCCTCCCTCCCTTCTCTCCCATTTATATACACAAATACTACCTAACATTCAAGGTGCAATTCAGCTTTCCCCCACAAGTTCTAAGACCATTGTGACTTCCTCCTTCATAGTTACAACACTGGGCATGTCATGAAAGGGTGAACTCTTTTTTTGTGGGTAGAGTGGGGGGAGGTTCAAGACAGGGTTTCTCTGTGTACCCCTGACAGACTGTCCTGGAACTCAGCAATCCACCTGCCTCTGCCTCCTAAGTGCTGGTTTCAAGGGTGGGTTCTTATCCCACACAAACCCATCGCTGCCCATGGAACAACGTGTGTGATGAGCAGCGCATGCACTGCTGTGGCGTATGAATAGTGACCCTGGGAGGCCGAGTAACGAGAAACAAAACTATGGCCTGGCCTGGTCACCTGAAATATGCAGAAAGACAGGAGGCTGCTGCATGTGCAAGCTCAGTGATGACATTTCTCTCGCTGGGAAAAAAAACACCCAAAGTGTTCTCTAATCTTTTATAAAAATCCTAAACATAGTCATGTTATTTATATTAATTTCATTTTCATTAAAAAACTGCTTTGTAAGTAATTATAGATTAAAATTCAGGAGTAAAGAATGTTCAACCTTTTAATAGCTATAACCAAAAAAAACCATCAGAAGTCTGAGCGTTTTGTTAAGAAGCATTTCAAGGGCTATGCTGCTTTCTTGTGCTAGGGATGGAGGCCAGCAATTGTGCACATGTGACAGGGACGCAGTGCTAAACCCCAGCCCCACCAAGGCCTGCACACCATGAAAACCTGGGTCATTCCCTACGGTGTATGCGAGCTCTTCTCACACAAGCCACGGCTGTCTCCCTCTTGTGCAGGGTTTTCTGATGACAAGTAAAGGAAAAAGTCTCTTCTCCACATAAACAAAGCCTGGAATGACATTGTTAGCAGGAGCCCCGACAGTGATGTGTGGGTCTCACCTGCAAATTCATTGAAATGATTTCCAATATCATACGCCAGATAGTTGTATCCAGAGTACTCATAATCAATGAACTGTACGTCACCTATGTGAGACACAAAAACAAAGCAAATAAGAAATCACACACATGATCAGAAACCCTATGCTATCTGTAATTCAATCCTTCTCACACTTTGTCTCAATGTGTGTGCTTGGTTACATGCACTTCTGAGACAACACCGGCTGAGGCTGTGAATTTTATGGCAATGAGCTTTACAAAATTCAAATTATGTCTCTTGATCAACAGCACTTCAAGAACACTATTGTTCACTTTTGTTTAAATGACAGTATAATCATTTCCAACTTCTAAAAGAAGAAAGATGTTTTTCACCACATGGGGGCATCAGTAACTTAAAAATAAATGTTTAAATTAGAAATGACTCTCTTTGGAAATTGTTAACAGCCCTATCTTAACAAAACATCACCTATGACACACTGTATAGCAAGCTTATCTACATATGAAAATCAAACATAAACTCTGAAAACTTGAATTCTGTGACTGACAGTATGTTAACACTCAGTGACCAATGTGATGTTATCACCAGTTTAAGAAGTGAGTTGCTATAAAATTCTTATTTGGCATAATTACACAACTGAGTTTTCCATGTCTTAGGAAACAATAATGATACAGTTTCTAACATTTGGAAATTTTATTAATTTTACATGAGTTAAATTAAGATTGTGTGTGTGTGTGAGAGAGAGAGGAAGGCAGGGAGGGAGGGGAGGGAGGGAGGGAGGGAAGGAGGGAAGGAGGGAGGAAGGGAGGGAGAAGACATACCTGTTACTCTTCTATAAGTGAGCACTACTGCTTAGAATACTTTAATTTTTAAGTACTCATTATGGAGTGATTACATGTAAATATGCAAGTTGTATATGAACAGAATGAAAAATAAGAGGTTGCGATATTAAGTTTAAGTAAAAACCTAAAGCACGTCTCAATCTACAATGGAGGTATGCGTACACCATGGAGCTACCTACAGGTGCAGCAGACAGAGAAGAATGGCCACAGCTGTTACAGTCATTTCCAGGATGCTCAGGCTAAGAAAATATGTCACTGCATCTTGTAAACAGTAACAACAGGTGACACAACAAGACTCCTGGTCTATGCACAGTGGCATTTCCCCCAAATAAAACAGCATCGGAATTTTAATGTCCTAATAGAGATTTGTATAATTAACTAAAAAAAAGTATATTGAGCATATTGAATCACCAAGAAAAAAAAAACATGACCAAAAAATGTTGTGGTAAATGTAAAAATTTTTCCAAAACTCGGTATTTACTGCAATTCTAAAACTGTAAGAATGGCAAGGGGCTGGGGAGTAGCCTGGTGGGAGGGGGGTGCTTGCCTAGCAGAAACCAGACCTAGGACTGGTCCTCAATATTAGGGGGAGGAAGCTCTAAGCTCTATTGGACACACATCGTAACAACAAATGTAAGGTTTCTTTCTTTCTTTCTTTTTTTTTTTTTTCTTTTTTTTTTTAATGAGACAGGGTTTCTCTGTATTGTTTTGGAGGCTGTCGGTCCAGCCTGGCCACGAACTCACAGAGATCTGCCTGCCTCTGCCTCCCGAGTGCTGGAATTAAAGGCGTGCACCACCACCGCCCAGCTAAAAGTAAGGTTTCTTAAATGTTAGTGAAAATAAATGATACTGCAATTCAGCCACAGATGTGATCTGCTGCAAGCCCAGAACTACCGGACAAGCTCAGCCATAACTCAAGGACCCCACTGGGCACAGAAGGGAACTAGGACAGGCCTGGCAAGTCCTTGACTCACAGAGCCGCTAAGCAGCTTTCAGAACTAACGGTCTAGGGGTTGTGGATATGATACTAAATGAACCAATACACTGGGGAGCGATTTATTAAAACCTGTCTAAAAAAAGGTGTACTTAATACAGGACAAAGATGAATTGAAATAAACCCTAACAAAATGTTCAGCTCCTTTAACTCACTATAGGTGGTAGACAAGTGATTTCCTGTTACGTTCTTTTTAACTTCTTTACGCTGAGCACTTTCTAAAGAAAAATGTTATTCTCAGAATGAATACTATGGATATTCTATGAAACTGTCAACAAGTAAAACTAAATAGAATGGTCCAGAATATTCCTATCCCTCCACAAGCCTTCAAAGAACAGAATATAACAATTACCAAGTTGCGTAACTGAACCAAGCAAACATGTTTAACATACATAGCTTTAAATGCAGCTGTTGACAACTCAGGCTCTTTAGCACAACTCCTTGTAAAGCTCATGTTACAGTTAAATGCCAATAAAATACACAGCCCAGTCCTGAAGCTTACTGCTCCACATAAATAACAGCTTCAATTTTCAAAATTACATTTAGAATTTGGCAGATACAGTTAAAATGGCAGGTAAAAACAGACCTGCTTATACACATAATTTAATTAAAACATAAATCATTTTAAGAAAAGTTAAAATCTGTTTCAGCATGAAAAGTTTTAGCAGTGACTTTTGTAGTAGCGTTAACTCATTAACACTGGCCTTTATGTTTAAATGCTATGTTGAGTTTACAATGAACTCTAAGATAAGAAAATGAAGCTAACAAAATACAGATGGGGCTGTTACCAGGCTCCGTGCATGTGAACAAGTGAGGCGACAAAGCTCCAGTCAATGCGCTTAAGAAGCACGGGTGTGCCGCCACATGGCAGCAGCAATGGCATACCTAATCTGTAGCAGATGAAGAGAATTTGGCAAACTCACATTGTACAACACACAAAGCTTTAAAGGAAAGAAACTTTTAAAAATCTGCATCAACTATTCTCAAGTTATTACAAAGTGGAACTCAACCTTAAATTTAAAATTCTGCAATCATATAAAATTATACAGGCCTATTTTAGGGTGCCAGAAAAATCAAATTACAGTGTTAGAAAATGCTTTCCTAGCAACAGAAAACATGCAACTTCTTATCTCTAATATTTCACGACATTAAGAATGTTCATACCATTATTAACAAATAATTAAGACAAGAATTTCTTATTGGGATCTCAAAGGTGAACAGATAATGAGAATACACCCTAGAGCTATATGTGAACACTCACTTCCTACAGAGGGGCTTCTAGATCATCCAGATTATCAAGACATCCTTAACTTCTAAAAATAATGATTAGCTTAAGCGCTAGCATTTTTATTATCTTAGATGATTACATCAGTGACACACATATAATGCATAAAGCAAACAATGGATGAATTTGAATTATCAAAGGTATACTTTTGGTTTTTACTCATTTGAAGCGCTTCACCACCGTAGGAAAAATCCATTGTTATAATGTCCAAATCTCAATACGAGAAAAGAAGGTCTTTCAATTCTAAAAGCGCTTTAAAGCAAAAAATGACTAACTACCCAAGGCTATTTAATTCTAACAAGACACATTTGTCTCAGTTTCATTTTGTGAAAAAGATTGTTTTAAAAATCAGAAGTTATCAAAGAGAATGTGGTTACCTTCCCAGCTCAGTCCACGTGCTCTGCCGTTAAGACAGTAGAAACATCGGTAAGGAAAAGTACCGCTCTCTATAGCAATTCTGCAAAAACATTGTGTGTCTCACGCAGAACCAGGCAGGAGAATGTAGGTTGGGAAATCCGCAGTTTTGCTGTCATCACCTCCATCACAGCGTACGTCACTCTAAATCTAAGGGTGAAGGACTGGCAAGAGCTATGTGACAGACAGCCTGGGACAGGAGGCCCTCCTGGCACGTGAGAAGTAATCAAGCGCTGGGAGAGAAACTGAGGTTCTACAGAGAACACTGAGACGAGTAATATATGGGGGGGGGGACATGGTATTTCTAACATTCTCATCCAAGTGTAACTCAAATATAGTGGACCTAAATACACGGGTTGTATAAAGCTCTTCACCTCTGCCTGTGTCCATGCAACCAACCTTAACTAAATTCAGTGAGCCATACACAAAGAGAGGAGGGCTGCAGAAAGGGGTCAGCAGGAAGGACACGAGAATAACAGTAATAGGGAGAGAAATGACATTATAAACATGAATCTGTCTGAGAGTAAAAATAAACATTGAACACGAAGACCTAGTAACATCTTAGTCATTGTTCCTTAATAGTTCAGAATGGTCTGGCTGACTTTTAAAGCACACTCTTGCCACAAAGCCCTGGTTGGCCTGGTACTCACTATGTAGACCACATAGGCCTTAGGAGACTCATGGCAATCTTTATGCCTCAATCTCCTGAGAGCTGCCTCCCTGGCTAGGGTTCAGTTTTACAGCTGCCTGCCTGACTTTGGATTGTTTTCTTTTCCTGAGCTGAAGTCTAGAACAAATCACTACAGTGTTAGTATTACTCCAAGATGGTAGAAACATTCTACACTTTAGGGCGTTCCAGTTATAGGGATGCAGACACTGTCAAATTCACTACTTTTTGTTTTTAAAGGCAGGATTCAAATACCGTGCCTAGGTTGGTCCTGAACTTGTCAGGCTCCAGAAAGCCTATCCCTCAGTTTCCCAAAAGGCTGCAATTCCAGAGACACACCATCACACCCAGCTCAGTGTGCTAACTGTCACAAAGTACTTCAGTCAACACTGAGCTCCAGAGGTGCTCTGCTGCTAGAGAGCTTGAGCATGGAGGCCACTCACCCTGTGGAATATACATACCAGAGTAAGATGGACTGATGGATGGACAGGTGAGGCGGGCTCATAAAGCACAAGTTGTGAGTTCTAGGCTCTAGGTGGCAGGTACATGGACAATCACTATGTATCAGATATGCGCTATTTACTTATAAGATTCATTTTTGTACCTGTATTTGTAGATATTTAGATCAAATAATACATACATATACATACATATGGAGTGTGGTAGTACTCCAAATGAGTAAGCAAAGCTCTACACGCACAACATACTGGGTTTTATAAGCAAACATGTTTATATGGTTATGTACTTACTTCTAGCTGTTTCATCAATAAATGTTTACATTTGTCTGTCTATGAGATTTTCAAATGAAGACAAGATTTGTTTTGTTTCTGTTAATTTTAAAACAGAAACTCAACTGGCTCTCAGGATGCCCCTGAATTTCCTATCCCCTTTATTCTACCTCCAAACACTGGATTAGAGTACTGTCACACCATATATGCAATACTGAAGGTGGCACCCAATGTTTTGAGCATATTAAGTAAGCCAGCAATACACCACCTGAACTACATCTGCAGTACCAGAGGGACAGATCTAATAAGGAGGGCATGGAGAACTGTCTCAGTCTAGCAAGAAGGTACTAAGAAATCTCTACAAATCTCCTAAGATGTCAGATCTTTACTGAAATTTTAAAATAAAATCAACAGAAAAGTATCTTCTAAGTCACCAAAAGAACAAAGCTCTGCATTAGTAGGGGAGAATGGATCTGATTTAGAGCCAATCAAGTGACTCAGTGTGGTGACTTTCCTACCTGCAGTGTGCAAAACTAAAGAAATCCCAAGAAAAGATCTCCAATTTCTTCTACTCCTTTGAATTGCCTAAACGCTTACCAAACAACTTGTATTTCACTAAAGAGAAAATGAACAATGATTAGCAAAGACATAGTAAGTCTCATTTGTAGGCTCTTAAGAAGAAATGGGGGGAGAAATGAAGTCACTATCTCCAGCCCGTGGGGTGTGTGTGTGTGTGTGTGTGTGTGTGTGTGTGTGTGTGTGTGTGTGTGTGTGTGTGTGTGTGTGTCCGTCCGTCCCTGGCTGTCCTAGAACTCACTCTGTAGACATTGCTGACCTCAAACTGACAGAGATCTGCCCGCCTCTGCTCCCAAGTGACGTGATTCGAGATGTGCACCACTCCACATGCCTGATGCCCACACTGCCCTTTCTAAGACCACTCTGCAGTGTGGGGGGGAATGCACCAATTCTCACGAATTAAGCTTACCAAATTGTTGGAATGAGGCATGGTGTCTTCTATTTGTAACTATACACTCAAACAGGTCACTACGGTTTCATTGTCTCAAAACTACCAGCTCTTCACTTGAAATACCATCAAAGGACAGTAACAGTGTAACTTCTGGTGAGGTGTTTATGAATTTTAGGCATTGTCTGAACATCATAACCAGTGTGTTAGTGATTATGCATCACCTTCTAACAGAAATCTTACAGAAATGCCACAAGATCCAATTAGCCTTCCTAGTAGACATAAAACAAGTCACTGGTAAAGGGGAAGACATACACACAGCCTTTCCATAACTAACACGCAAACGCCCACAAAGACAAGTCACAACCAGTACAACATGGCCTCCTGCTGGAAGGGGAGGTACAGAGAGACATGGAGGGGACACTTTGACCACTAACGCCAAATTAAAGTCTAATTGCTCTCTTTGAAAAACAAGCACTTTATATGTAAATTATCAACAGCTGAGATTGACAACTGTTTGAATAAAAAGTACCTATAACAGAGTAATCTGATTTTTTTGGTCCCTTAATTTTTAGTTTTATAAAGAAGTTTGTTCTATGAAATGAATATGCAAAAGAAACATAAAAACAAAAATATGACAAGTTAAAATTATATTCCAAAGAAGTAATAAATTCCCTTTAACTTGCAGTTAAAAATAAAGCTGAGTGTCCACTTTAAATGTAAGATGAAGTCCCTTACTTGAAACTTCATTACGTAAATGTGTTATTAGATCTTGCACTGAATGCTCCTGTCTCATATGGCATTGAGATTTGGTCACCACTCATTTACTTTAACAACTGCATAATCAGGACAGTAACTCATTAAAAGAAACTGTCTATGAGTTCAAGCTTTAGGGTAAACCTAAGGTTTAAATAAAGCTATTCACACAAGAATTAACATGATTCAAGATAAAGGCTTTAGCTCAGGGTTTTTAACTCTCATCCATATTACAGTATCAAATATGAAAGAGAAATGTTTTTGAAAATAGAGCTAAAGGCCACCATCCTTGACAGTGTCCCTTTAGTTGGGTTTCAAGTTAAAGTTAGTCATAATTACTACCAATTCTTTTATTATGACAGTTCCAACTTTGGATATAAGAACACTAGTGGTAAACTTAGTATATTTATGACTACATCAAGAGCAATTCTTTGGCTTTAGTATACTCACAAAAGCACTTTTTTATTTCAAACATGATCTTCCAAATATGACCACTTTCAAATGAGTTTCCTGTGAAAAGCAGCAACTTCACAGTTTCAAGAATACTTTTCAAATATCAACTTTTTAACACCAATTGTACTTTTAAATTTTAAGTTAGTATATGGAGGTGTTTATTGTTTAGCAACCAAACCTCAAACCACTTTACCCAGTGATCTCATAATGCAACCAGTGACCTTTGATATGAACACCGAGCATCAAGCTATGTACAGTCACACAAAAAGTTACACCAAAAGTAACAACTTTTACCTCCGTATTTTAACTATTGACCAAGGCTATTGTCTTTATTATGATTTCATTTGCTATAAATACGAACAAAGACAGTATTGTCTACACCCAAGCCTCTCCCTCAAGTCAGCATATACGCAGGATCAGAAAGCCTGGGGTATTAAATGCTCAGCTCACAGCACTGAGAGGGCTCGCACAGAAACCCGCAGTGCAGTAGCGATCAGTTGACTTCCCACACTCCCCACTACAGCACACATGCTTTCAAATCACAAATATCCAAACAGCTTCTAGAAATATATATATATTTATAGGTTTATATTTATAAATATATATGCATTCACACAATCATTTCATCATCTTACACTTAAAAAGCCAACAAGAACCACCAACTATTTCTAATAAACCAACCTTTAGAGACATTTTATCCATACATACATATCCCTAATAGAAATTACGATTTTTATACCTTTAAGAGAAAATCTTTGTGTATATTTTAATTCTTATTTACTGATACAAAGACAAAGGACCATTAAGAGTATACGATCAATCAACTTACTTACTGCTAAGGTCAAATACCTACCTTGTTTCTCGTTGTAGATTATATTCTTACACAACAGGTCATTATGGCAAAGCACCACAGGTGAGCCCAGGTTGGACAGGATCTCCTTCATCCAAGTCATCTCCGCCTGAAGAAGCTGAGGGCTTGGGACATCACTTAGGAACCTTTCCATTTAAAAGAAGAGTAAGAGCTTGTTTATCTAATTGGAACTTCATTCAAGCTTAAAGTTTAACAATCTACTTCAGATGTTTCCATTGAATAAGCACATATTCCTGAATTCAAAAATAGATCAATGTGTTCCAAAACTTGAATAAGGGAAACCTTTATAATCAATTTAAACATAAGACAGTCACCCTTCAATCCAGAAGCAGATGGATTCCTGAGTTCAAAACCAGCCTGGTCTACAGAGCGAGTTCTAGGACAGCCAGGGCTACACAGAGAAACCTTGTCTCAAAAAACTAAAAAATGCAGAGCAAAAGATAAAAACTCTTGACACTTCAGAACTGGGGGAGGGACGGTAAAAGCAGTCACCAGCTGTGACGTGCCATTCTAAACCTTACATTTACTGCCACCTTATACCTATAAGGACTGAGACACAATGAATTCATTGAGAGACGTGTATCATGTAAAGTTACAGACTGAAAATGTTTATTTTAAGCAAGGAAAGATGAATGCAACAAAAACAAAAAGTTCAATTTTCAGAAAATCCTAGAGCAGTGTCTGAAATGGAGACACTCATATTGCCTAGTTATCTTAACAGCAAAGCTCTACAATTTGCCTCGGTGCAGCAGGGATAGACTTTTTTAAAAGGACTCTTAACCCGAATTTTAAGCATAAGGTTTAAGAAAGGTGCCTGGGAAAAAGAAAGAACCCAAAAGTATGGATGTGGGTGATCTATCGGGATATATTTGACAGGAAAGGAGATGATATAAAATGAGCTACCTCCCCTAGCTTGCCAAGAGCACCACCAAGGCTCAAACTGCTATTCACGTACTCCTTGCCAAAGGGCTGCCTGTTCTCTTGGTTCTTCAGCAAGTCTATCAACTACTCCTTACTCCCCACAGGTTATCTCCATGGGGGACACCACCAGCACACCCAGCTATAACCTACACTACTCCCTTTACACAGACAATGACATGGAGCTAAGCACTCGCCAAGAGGACATGACAGGGACAGTAAAGTGGTAAGCAAGTCAGTCTGGACCCAGAAGCTGTTGCTCTCCACTCCACTTACACTTATACTTTGTATGCGTGCATATGCATGTGAGCACACTGTGAACTCATACATCTGGGGTGTGCATGTACATGCTTGTAAGCACACTGTGAACTCATACATCTGGTGCGTGCATGTACATGCATGTAAGCACACTGTGAACTTATACATCTGGGGTGTGCATGTACATGCATGTGAGCACACTGTGAACTTATACATCTGGTGTGTGCATGTACATGCTTGTAAGCACACTGTGAACTCATACATCTGGGGTGTGCATATGCATGTGAGCACACTGTGAACTCATACATCTGGTGCGTGCATGTACATGCTTGTAAGCACACTGTGAACTTATACATCTGGTGCGTGCATGTACATGCATGTAAGCACACTGTGAACTCATACATCTGGGGTGTGCATATGCATGTGAGCACACTGTGAACTCATACATCTGGTGTGTGCATGTACATGCATGTAAGCACACTGTGAACTCATACATCTGGTGTGTGCATGTACATGCTTGTAAGCACACTGTGAACTCATACATCTGGTGCGTGCATGTACATGCTTGTAAGCACACTGTGAACTTATACATCTGGTGCGTGCATGTACATGCATGTAAGCACACTGTGAACTCATACATCTGGGGTGTGCATATGCATGTGAGCACACTGTGAACTCATACATCTGGTGTGTGCATGTACATGCATGTAAGCACACTGTGAACTCATACATCTGGTGTGTGCATGTACATGCTTGTAAGCACACTGTGAACTCATACATCTGGTGTGTGCATGTACATGCTTGTAAGCACACTGTGAACTTATACATCTGGGGTGTGCGCCTATACATGCGGGTGAGCACACTGTGAACTTAAGAGATCCTGCTTGCCTATGTCACTCTAGAAACATACTTCCTACACAAACATACAGCTGTAACACATTTAGATAAGACATAATAAAATTTCCAATTTTTATATTAATAATAATCGCAATATTCTTGATTTAGATTCTAAAGACTAATGAAACACCATAGACAGTTTGAACTTGGAAATCAAGCTGGAAAAGCTAAAATCGCAGAAAGTGAATTTTCAACTTGATAATCTGTTATTTAGATAAACGCAGTAAAGTAAGATAACCTACGTTTTTACAGTCCCAATATATATCTCTAGACCTCTATAGACAGAAACATTTAGAAGGTCTCTATGGCCAATCACTGCTCCACTGTACCCTTTCACAGCTGCTTTCATAATTACTCCTGGACATGCTGGTTCCTCTCATCTCCATCCTCCTTTTAATACCGTGGGGGAGGCGGGGGCCTTCCAAAGGACAGGGAGGCTATTTTTGTAGTGTGATCTGAGAGCCATAGGGCCAATGCTTTTGTTCACTTGAGTGCAGAGAGGAAAGCAAACTAGATTTTATACAGGGTTTGTTATCTGTCATTACTCACTAAAGGCAAAGCAATGCAAATACCTTAGTAATTTACCTTTTATTAATGTCTTCATCAGCAAATCCTGTGGGAATGAGAGAGAAGTATTTCCCCATCTTTAGCCATAGGTTAGATTTGGGGATCCAGCCATTATGTGCATGGATAGCATGGATTTTAGCAAGCTGACGAGCTATTAGCCTGTTTAAAAACAAAACAGCACAAAAACTTAAGTTTAATAAAGCTTTACTCAGGTGTCACAACTCAACTCTTCCACATCTCTGTGGCATCTCCTTCTAGACTCCCAGCATAACAGCGACTCTGCCAGGTCAGGTCAGGTCTGCTTACTGCAGGCCTAGCCAGACCGCTCAGCCTGTAACCCCCCAGCCTGCATCCCCACTCAGCCTGCACCCCCTCCCCCGAGCCTGCATCCCTGCTGCAGTGCCTCTCACACCAGGTTGACTGGCTACCATGCCTGACTCCTGATGCCACGCTACAGACACTTCTGACCTATTAACATCACATCCTGCTCCTTGGCTACAAATTCCCACTGGCACACCTCTACTCACCTTAAGCCCAGTTTGTCTTCTCCCTCTGAAAATTAACACTGCCACAGTCAAGACACTTGTCACAGGAGATACTGAGAAAAGCTATCCTCATCAATGGTATTGCTGGGGAAAAAAATGTACTATCCCCACAGAGTCTGAATAGTGGGCTTGGAGGGATTTAGTCAGTGAATGAGAGTTCCTGATAACCTTAACATAATAAAACATTTGAGAACTCAAACACAGCCTCAAGTATCATAAGCTTGTGATTAAATAAACTTTTGCTACAAGTTTCTACCATATGTATTGTTCTTGTCTGATTTGCTGAGATGGGGTGTCATGTGCCCTATACCCTTGGACTCCTGATCCTTTTGCGTCACCTACTGGGACTGCAGGCGAGTGCTACCATGCCCAGTTCAGCAGTGCTAGGGAACTAACCAAGGGCTTCCAAATGTGTTAGGCCAGCACTTTACCAACTGAGCTACATCCCAGCCCTCTATCGTGAACACTCAAGTTTTATTCACGTGGCTTATATAATGCTGACCTTAATCCTAAAGCCCATTTGCATCACCAAATTTAGGAGCACACAAGCTGACTCATGCCTTCGTGAGGAGCACAGCTAAGTGGTATAGCACTTGCCCAGGATGTATGAAGGAAACCAAGTGTATCATAGTATACTTTTTAAAACACAACCCTCTTTTGCTGTTTTGTTATTTTTTTAACTTATTTTCTGCGATAGTGATCACACCCAGGCAAGCAGCCCTATACCCTAACCCTTTTCTGTTTTGTTGAGACCTGCCTAACATAGGTGCTAGGAACCAAAGTCAAGTCCCTCTGCAAGAGGTACAACACCTTTAACCATGAGCCATCATCTCTAGCACCGATCAGCTTAAAGGAAATTATTTATCTTGTGTTGATGCTCCCATGTGCGTCATGTGTGTGCATGTATGCATTTGAGGAGCAGTCAGGTTGGAACTTTCTAGGTAGCTGAGGATGACCTTGAACTCCTGACCTCCTGGTTCCATCTCCCAAGCACAGGTGTACTCCATGCCAGCAAGGGATCACTCCTATTCTATTGCTTCTCTTGCTGGGTGAGAAGGCTGGGTCATCCTCACTTCCTGTTATTTGTTCTGTTCTGCTCGGTGTGGGAATTTGGTTCATCCTTCATTTCTTTCAGGTTCAGCAAAGATGAGCAGAACTTCCCATCCATAATCCTTTTCAAAATAATTTATGAGTCAGACATAAGAGTGATTCAAACTTGTCTTTCCTGATTTTTGTAGTTTCTTTTCCTAGTGGTTAATAAAGCCCATTAAGCATTTAAGAATGCCATAAAAGAAACAACACAATCTGAAATAAACTGAATAGCAAAGCAAACAGCAAATGTAACCCTGGGAACATCAACTTGATTCCTATCAGTTTCTTCTTCTGCTTTGTTAGCCTCCTCTTCAAAACACAGTCAATCAATTTAATACATCACTTATTGCAAACCAGTTGTGATACAACATACTTGAAAGAATCGAGTCAATATCTGGTCTCTTTTGGAGACAGGGTTTCTCTGTGCAACAGCTTTGGCTGTCCTGGAACTTGCTTTGTAGACTAAGCTGGCCTCAAACTCAGAGATCCACCTGTCTCTGTCTCGCAAGAGCTGGGATTACAGGCATGTGCCACTAACACCTGGCTGATACCTGGTTTCTACCAGTACACATTTTACCTAAGTGGTAAGTATATGACCTCTTTAGTCTCATTGACATATATTCTAAATAAGTAGCTCCACTAGAAGTGTAAGACCATTTTAATCAAACATAATTATAAATACTAATCAGCTATGACAAACTTTTACTAACTAAAAACTGTAGTTAGTCCTCCATCTCTGTAGGTCCCATATCCATGGATTCAACCAAGCACAACCAAAATAATCTCAAAAAAAAAAAAAAAACCTCATCAAGTCACACCTTGCTACACACCAAGTACTACGTAATCTCCACACAGATAATACTACGTGGGAGTAGTGATGTAACCTTCCCAACCCCAGCTACTCATCCTCTCTCTGTGCTCTGCACACTGTCTGCCTGGTGTCGCTGTCGCACACTGTGTGCTAGACTTATCCACAATGGCGGCCCTGTACTGGACACGCAGCTGTCGAGTACTCAGGTGCCTAACAGCAAAGCCTTTGGAGAGCCTTCCCTCTGCGTGTGGGAAGTAACAGACAACTGATGCTGGGAAGCACGCATGCTCTAGACACGCATCACCTCACACCAGGGGCTCGACTGACACCCGCAGGAAGGGAGGAGTCTCGAAATCCGCCACTCAGGGACATTAAGGAAGAGCTATGCAAACATTCCACTCCTTCCACCTTAGGCTGCCTAGAAAAGATTGTAAAGTTTCCTTGGTAAAAAAGAAACTATAGCAGGCTGAATTGTGTAACCATAAATGCTGAAAGCAACAGAGTGGTCTCATTTACTCTGTTCACTTGAAGTCTAACGTGTCATGTTGTCTAAGCAGCACAGCAAAATCCGATTTCCCTTTATATTCCATCTTAATACATAAGGACGTAGTCACCTATTGATGCTACTCTTTCAGTTTCTGCTTGTGTCAGCCATGGAGGTCAGAGGTTAATGACTGAAAAGTCTTTATACCTTAGCTTCTCATTTACTTAAGCAGGCTTACTAATATCTATCCTCTAGGGTTATTTTGTATCAATGTTATTAAATTAGAGTCAGACACTACAAAGTTCCTAAGTTTTCCATAGTGTTAGCCATCACAATCATTTGATCATGCCTCCAACTTTAGAAAGTGAACTCTCCACACTTTTAGAACTGTAATATACCTGTTACAAGCTTTTTATACTGTTACAAAATAAATTTAAATCTAATAGTATCCTTTGTCAGTTTTATTTTTAATCAAAAACCAAGAAAAAGTCTGGGAATGATGGTGCACACCTTTAATCTCAACACTTGGGAGGCGGAGGAAGGCGAATGTCTGTGAGTTCAAGGCCAGCCTGTTCTACAGATCAAGTTCCAGGACAGCCAAGGCAGTTACAATAAACAAAAAGCAAAAAAGAAAGAAAACATTTTATATACTGTTTAACAGAATTTCAGCACAAGCAAATGATTTGACACACTTCATCTCTAATCAGTTTTCACTTGAAATCTAATTTTAAAGGACAGCCCACAGACTCCTTTGAGGCGGTTCCGCTGGAAAGCTGTCATGAGACAGTATTCACCACGTACTCTTGTTCTCAGTGCAGCTGAGTCTACCTGCAATCAAAATGACAGCTAAAGCAGGGTGTCCACCTGGTATTCTTCATACTCCAAAGGGTTCCAACTTCTAACATACATATTGGTAAACATGGATCAGACAATAAAACAAGCCTGCTGGGGTTCAAAAACAATTCCTTTCTTGGTGGGGAGGGGAGCAGAGGGTCTCATGTAGCCCAGGCTAAAATCAAACTCTCTTAGGTGGCTCAGGATGACCCTCAACAGAGTCTCCTGGGACTAAATGTATGGCCTACCATGCCTACCTGTTAAAAACTTGCAAAAGACCAGCCAGCAGTGAAGGAACTTGCAAAAGACCAGCCAGCAGTGAAGGAAGAGAAGCCACTACAGCAAGTTGTCCCCTGACCACAAAAAATGTGGAGTGGTAGCAAAATACCCAAACTCACACACACACACACAACTCTTTCCCCACACACACCTACCTATAGGTGTAATTTTTTAAAATCTGACTGTGTTTCCTTAGTGCATATAACATTCTTTTTCTAAGGGAAGGATGTAGAAAAGGAACGCACCTGAAAATGGCTGGGTTGCAGACATGCTGTGGGTCCAAAGCTTCCCCTTGTATAAACTCATAGCACAGTCCATTATTAAAGGTGCAGTAGAGCTGAGGTGCACAGCCATGAGCCTGCAGCACACGGAAACTCTTCACTTCTTCATCTCGGTCCACTAACAGCTCCGTTTTGTTGCCATAAATTCTCACCAGAACTACATCTTCCATGGTGTCCCCCACATAGCAGGCGATGAGTTTATTTGTGATCCCATCTGTGAAGAGCTGCCAGGGAAAGCGGAAAAGACAGAAATTCAATTATGCATTTATAAGGATGGACTGGAGATAACCTGATAGTGGGTAAATGGCTCACTGGAAACATCAGAGTTTTGGGTATAGCTTGGACCTCGGTAGAGTGCTCTCCTCTCCTTAGCAGGCAAATCCCCTCAGCAGAAGCACTGGGGAAGGAACCTGAGTCCACAAGTGGGGGAGTCCGCTCGGGGAGACACATGCTTGAAAGGAACATGGCTCCAAAGCAGCAAGGTGCCTCAGGGTGAGAGCGTTTAACAGTACACCCTGACACAGCAGTTCAATCCCAGAAGCTAGCAGGGAAAGGAGAGCTGTCCCTGACCTCTGCTCATAGGTGACTGCATGTATTGTCGCGATATCTAAGAACAGCCGGGCGTGATGACTCACACTGTAATATCAGCACTCAGGAAGATCCTGAATTCAAGGCTAGCCGGGGTTACAGTGAGCTCCAAGCCAGAGTGAAACTGCCTCACACTGTCCCACCTACTCTACAATCTAGGAGGAAAGAATATATATATGTGTGTGTGTGTGCACATATATATGTATGCATATATATATATTTACATTAAATGCAGGAATACAGCTGTTCACTTAAAACACTACATAGCAGGGAAACTAGCACTTGCTGTGTAATAGAAACCTTGTGCAGCCACCTGAGAGGGAGCACACCCTTCTGAAACACAGCTAAGACTGCTCATAAAGACCTCAGCTCACCCGAGAGGGAGCACACCCTTCTGAAACACAGCTAAGACTGCTCATAAAGACCTCAGCTCACCAAGCTTGAGCCTCTAAATCTGAAGCTACCAATACCTTTAGATACATATGTAGCAAAAAGAGATACAAAAACACCCTAATAACTGTTGGGAATGCACATGCCACTCTAAGTGGGCTTTTCAAAGGCAGACTAAATTGCTCTGACGTAAGTGATCAAGGACACCCATGGAACACACACCACCTCTTTGTCTCCAAAGCTGTAGAGTGCACCAAATGACTAGCCGGGTTATAAAGAAGGCCTTGGTACAGCCAAAAGCTTAACATTCAAGAGCACTTTGTCAAATACGCTGGGTGGGACTTAAGAAACATGTCACACTCAATAGCAATAAACACGGTGGCAAGCAACTGGCATGTCTCCTAGCATCAGAAGCAGAAGTCAGTCCGAGTGTTCGTCTACCGTATCCTAGTGTTGGCATCCCCGCAGCCGTGAGGCAATGAGGGAACACTACTTAGGAAGAAGACAGACCCGAGCTTCCATAGGGGCTGTCAGCCCCACACCGAGCAGCTGCCTCCCAGCCAAAGATACAATGGACCTGCATGTGTCTTCTCAGCAGAAAGACTAGTCACCTCCCAGCAGAAGACAGACGCAGTAGGTTGTACCTGTCCTCCTAGGTGACACGAGAGCGCATGCGTGAACAACACAAAGCACCGCAGAATTGAGTCTGAAATGGCAAAATTTCCACACAGTGACAAGCTCAGCACAGGCCATGTGTCTGTGTAAGGCAGTGTGTCAGGCCCATGGCCAATTCTTACAAGACGAGAAAGGCAGAGAAGACTGCAGGAGAGACTGCCTTAGCCTACACACAGCAAAGGATGTATAAGCAAAACAAGTGGTAAGGACAGAAAAGAACAAAGGGACTAAAGATAACTTCTTCATAAGACTTACAACAGATCTCACACACGCATCCTTAGGAACAACACTTTTAACACACACACACAACCACAACACACACACAACCACAACACACACACACACACAACCCTCCCAAGCTGATCGTCAAGCTCAGGGAGACTACAAAGGGAAGACCACGTGACAGGGTCTGGAGCAGTGTGGCCCCAGAGCTCAGGAAGCTGAAACAAGTGGACTACACTGAGTCGGAGGCCAACCTGTGCCGACCTTACCTCAACAACAAAAACCTTAAAATTAACAACACAGAGACATTATCCAAACAATATGACACTCCACTAAAGTTGATTTACTCCAGGAATGTAAAGGTGGTTTAATGTTCAAATTTTCAAAATCATTGCATATACCTCAATAACAAAATATGAAGCACTGGGTAAATAAGTTTCTCGGTCTATGTATTTAAGACAAGTCTAATGTATAAGGTAGCCCCGGTTGGCCTTGCATTATGTAGTTGAGGGCGACACTGAACTCATCATCCACCTCCTTCCTCGGTGCTGAGATGCAGACAGGCCGTCATGGCTAGCTCTCTCTGGTTTTCTCATTTTTACTGTATAAGAATTGAGTGTTCTGTCTGCGTGTATGTCTACCGACCATGTATGTACCCAGTACCTGCAGAGGCCAGTAGGGCATCAGACCCTTGACTTGGAGTTACAGATGGTTGTGAGCTCCCACATGTGTGCACGAGCTCTGAACCACATCTTACTATTTTAAAGGAGGAAAATACATATGTACACAATTATGCATTTGTATATAACTTGCAGAGAAAGAGCAGTCTGCATCTATGGGTTGTGTATCTATGGCCTCAAAGAACCCTGGATCAAAACTAAGAGAGACCACACCTGTACTCACCAGAAACTCTGTAGATAGCACCATACTGTGCCAACATGAATAACCTAGGCCAGGTACGATGAGGAGAGTAAGTCTTCAGATCTCTCCGAGGACCCTGGAACACCCCACACCAGAGAGGTTGCATCAGACGGACAACACTTCCTTGGTGAAGGGCAGAGATTCCCACTATTTCAACAGTCTATGGTTCTGAACTCAACCGTGGAAATTATCAATTTGTAGGAAGAGAAAACCACGTTGTCGTTAAAGCTGTCCTACTTATCTAAAGCACAGAGTTCTAGAACCCCTGTAGCCCTGATGCTATCTACGTCTCAGATGTCTAGGTTGGCAACAAAAGCCCAGTCACTACCTGGGGGAAAGAACAGAGGCAAAGAGCGCTGACCCCTGAGCACTGAGGACTGTCCTGTCGGAACACTGCCAGTTGCTAACAGGATGCCAAGCGAGCAGAATCCAGCAGTGACAGGATCAGCTCCTGAAGAGTTGGGGCACTGCAGCTACAAGAATGTGCACAACATGGAGAGTGCTCGACCGCCTGGCTGTTAGCCATACTACCTAAAACAAGGGCAAGGCTGACGAGAATGAACGCCAAAGGCAAAGCGGGACCAGGTGTGGGCTGTGCTGGGGTGGCAGCTCCCTCCACAAGACTCCTACAGCTGGGGGAGGGGTCACTAAAGGCCACGTAGCCAAACCGCCTCTTGTTCTAAATCAGCTGAGTGACACAAGACTGAGGCCAGCCTAAGCTGCATAGTGAGTTATAGGCAAGCCTGGACTACATAGTAAGATAATTTCTATATGCACATACATATATGGATGTATGTAGTAACTTATTTTGTGGGTTATTTTGCAGGCTAAATTTCAGAGCATTGTTCGCTGTTCACTGGTCAGCTATGGCTGGGATAACGGGAAACCCTAAACTCATTACTGAAGTCTGACTGCTGTGGCACGCCAGCATGCTGCAATCTCATTACAGGAACTACGAGCTGGTAAAACAAACAGAAGAGGACAGACTTTGGAGAGGGACCGACCTGTGTTGCTCTTGTGTGCATTCAAGACGAGTGAGGAACCTGAGCTGTGTACACAGGCACCGGCCCGGCTTCATGAGGATCAAAACCTCAGTGGTTTACAATGGTCCACAACTTGGCAGAGTAATCAAACTCCACCGATCTTTTAAGTGCCACTGTGAAAATGCTCTGTTCACAGGGAACACACACAGTTAAATGGCTTACTATTCTATGTAACATGGGTGGATCTCATCTAATCAGCAGAGGGGCCATAAAACACACACACACACACACACACACACACACAAACTCCCTACTAAGAGTCTGCTTCAAGACTGCACTACCAGCCCACACCTGAGCTTCATGCTGCTGTCACAGGAACTACAGACCTGTCAGCTGTCACATAAGCCACTTTTCTCCAGAGAACTCTGACACGTGGGTTATCATTTTTCCATTCCAGTAAGAACTTACCTATGGAAATACTCAGAAAATTCATTCAAATCACAGAAACATACATAGTCGTCTGCTAGAATACTGTTTTAACTTCCCAAAACCTAAAACAGCCTCAACAGTGTGAAAGGAAAAATAAACAAATGAAAGGACAAGTCATGGATCCAATACTTGTAATCCCAGCATATGGAAGGTAGCACTGTCTGGGCTACATATGACCTGCCACAAGAAAACATAAGCTACAGTTAGCCACCCACCCCACCCCACCCCCATTTATTGAGAAAGGGTCTCTCTACTCAGCCCTGGTTGGTCTCTCTGTAGCCCTGGCTGTTCTGGAACTCACTATGTAGATCAGGCTGGCCTCAAACTCACAGCCTCTGCCTCCAGAGTATTGGGATTAAAGGCTTGCACCATCACACCTGGCAAATGACATGTTTTTTTTACATGTTCAAACGTTTGCAGCTATCACACGTGAGAAACTTCTCGAGAAGCTAGTGAAAAGACAAGGGAACAGCACAACGGCTCAGTGGGTAAAGATATTGCTGCCAAGCCTGAAGACCCAGGTGCAGTGCCCAGGGGCCACGTGAGAGCAGGGAAGACCCGATGCCCTCTGCCCTCGTACAATTAATGTAATTGGAAGGATTTTGGTGGTGGTGTTTTGCTTTGTTTTTGTTTTTGAAGACAGGGTTCTCTTGTGTAACAACCTTGGCTGCCTTGTACTCGGTTTTGTAGACCAGGCTGGCTTGGAACTCACAGAGATCCACCTGCCTCTGCTTCCTGAGTGCTGATATTAAAGACCTGTACTACCACTGTTTTTGTTTTGGCTTTTTTTTTATATGAAATTGTATACATGAGTACAGAGTATAACTGTAAAATGTTTGAGTAGACCACAGCAAAAACAAAACAAAACAAACAAAAACCAGCCAAGAAAGACTAAACGTGTAGGAACAGAGAGTGAGTGGCCTTCCTTCCCTACCCTTAAGGTCTAACACTGCGAT